AGGTGCACATGGTTCAATTGCTCGTTAGGCTGCCGATTTGGTGATCAATGCAAAGCTGCTCACAGTTGTGTCGAGTGTGGTAAGGACCACCCTTGGCACGGCAATCGCTGATCAGATGCAGCGGGGGGTCAGCCACCGGCTCAGGCGGCCCCCCTGAAGTGCAACAATGAGCCTTGCGGCGCGCATGAAGCTGCCTCACCTCAGCTGACAGTGCCGGCTGCTCGTCCCGAGTGGCGCTCATGGAGTGAAGTCCCCCGAGATCCGCAACTTGTGCAACAACATGGCCCATGGTTCTTGGAGATTTTCTCTGGCGCCGCCACTCTGACGGCGGCCGTGCGCTCGCTGAATATCCCATCTTTGCCAACGGTTGACGTTACAGTGTGCGAGGAAGTCCCAACACCGTTCGATGTTGTGGATGTTGAACAATGGGACTTCATCTTGACCTCGGCCCTCCGCCACTGCGATCGGCTGCTTTCCCTTTAGGGCTCCCCGACCTCTCCGAGGACAACACGAATCTGGTCTTTCTGGGCAATTTGTTTTTGCTTCGCTCGGCAGAAGCATGCGCTGCTGTCTTCGCTCAAGGCGGCAACTTCTCCATCGAGAATCCTGAGGCGAGCCTGCTGTGGTGCGCCCCACCGACAACGACGTTGGCCCGCATCTGCCGCGCCTTTTTCGTGAGCTTTGATCAGTGCGAGTTTGGTGCTCCCTCGGTGAAGCCCACGACCTTGTTGGTCTCCCACCAGGTGTTCACCCAGCTGGAGCGTCGCTGTGCGGGCGGTCACCGACATGTTCGCCTTCATGGTAAAGTGTGGTCGTCAATTTTCAAGAAGGAGGTCTTCGGCACCAAGCTGGCGCAAGTGTATCCTGCTCGGATGTGCTTCTCCATGGCTAGCTGCATCGCTATTTGTTGGGTTACATCTTTACCGCAGTTTATGGCCAATCGCCTCCAAGAGAAAGCGTCCAGTCGGACAGCCCCTGCGGTGGCGTGATCACCGCCAAGCTGTTACAGCTCTCAAGGCCGAAGCCGCCGGCTACCAGCTGAAGCGGGGTGCTCGGAAGCCTTTGCTCGATGTTGAGACAGAGCCGGGGGTGGCGGTTGCATGGTCCCTCGATATCCCTCACCCTTTGTGTGTGGAAGTGGAATTGGATGACCTCCTCCGTGCTACGATACTCCAGCTTGCTCGACATCCCGCTGAAGTTCAAAAGCAGCGTGCAACCGCCTTGCAACATTGGGGGCGCCGAGCCCACGCGCTGCTGCCGGCTACAGAGGCTTTGCTCGCTAATGTTCCTGATGCGGGTGTTCGGAAGCTCCTACGGGGGGCTCCTGATTCGGAAACACTGACGTTGGGCCACTGCTGCCATATCGCGCTCTATTATGAAATGCTCCAGGCTTGCGGCTCAGTGGATGCGTTCTTACCAGACCTCCTTCTGCGGGGCTGTCCGATCGTGGGCCCTATAGCCCGCCCACAGCGGTGGCCACCCTACGCAAAGCCTCAACCCCACGTTCCTGTTCAGCGTGCTGTTGATAGGGCCTGGGGGATTCGATCGAAAATCATTGCTCGTGTGAAAGGAGTGCCAGTCTAGTCTCTGAGAACCTCACAAAAATCTGGGAAGCCACTCTAGAAGACGTAGCAGAAGGCTCGACACTGGGCCCTTTTCGTACGGCTGGTGAGGTGACCAAACTGCTCGACAACGATGAGTGGATTCCTACTCAGAGGTTTGAAGTGGTTCAGAAGAACAAGGTTCGTGGTTGCGACAGTGCAACTACAAACTTGATCAACCAGATCACTGTGATCACTGAGAAGCTACAGTTGCCGTCTACTGACACCAATGTGGCGGCGCTGAGATTGATGAGGTCCCTCCTACCCAGCTCGAAGTTTGCTGGTTGGGTTCTTGATGAACGAAAGGCATATCGCCAGGTGGGGATCCGCCCAGAGCACAGAAAGTTCAGTGTGATCTGCTTGAAGGATCCGAACTCAGAACAGCCAGCCTTCTTCGTCATGGTGGGTCATTCGTTTGGGCTCGTGTCGGCCGTGTACAATTACAACCGCCGATCGGCTGCCATTAACGAGATTCTCATGAGGTTGTTCAACTTAGTGTCGTTCAACTTCTACGACGACAAGTATGGGTTCGAGCCAGTCGAATTGGTTGAATCGGCGTTCGTCGTTGCGCAATCCGTGCATTGGTGGCTCGGTGCTCGGTTTGATGCCAAGAAGTTGCAACTCTGCTCGAAGCCCACCATCCTTGGCGTGACCTACAATCTCGATGACTGGATCTTAGAGATCAAGGTTGATCGGCGGAAAGAACTGATCGAAGAAATCGAGAGTGTTTTGGTTTCGGGAGTTCTGGAACCTGGTCATGCCGGAAAGCTCAAAGGCAAGCTCATGTTCGGAGCTAGCCAACTATGGGGGAAGGTCGGCCGTGCTTTTCTGAGATCGATCTCTGAGAGGCAGTACGCTCGGAGCTCCAACTCGGAGGTGTTTGGGATCGATCGTGCCCTGAAGGAGTCCTTGATCCAGTGGAAGAAGCTTGTTGAGTGTGGTCCTCCTAGGACGATCGACCTGTGTGCCCTTAAAAAGGCAGATGCAGTCTTGTTCACAGATGGCTTCTCCCCGGATCTGAGGGACCAAGTGAAGCTGCCAGATCGAGTGGGTGCTGTGCTTTTTGACAGATGCATGAACCATGCACGCAATTCACTGAGGTATAGTTCCTTTCGAAGTGAAACAGAGATGGTCGGCTCACCAGACACAAATTATTCCAGTTGAAATGTTGGCACCGATCTTAGCTCTTGAAACTTTTTCCAGTAGGCTTTTTCAAGCTGATTTGCTCGTTTTTATTGATTCAGAGGTGGTTGAAGCCGCCCTAATCAAAGGCTACTCGAGTAAAGAAGATCTGTGCCTGCTCGTGGCTTGTTTTTGGGATCTTGTCCTCAAGATACAGGCAAGAGTTTTCATCGATCGAGTAGCTACCGATGCTAACCCGGCTGATTGGCCGTCCCGCGACAACCTCACCATAGGTGAGAAGGTTGGATGGAAGACGGTCGCGCCTTGTTGGCCTCAGGGTCTTAGGTGAGCTGTTCAGTGACTGCTCGTACGGTGGGCCTGGGAAGTGAGACAGGATCCAAGCGAATTGGGTCAAATGTGTTTCTTTCTCAATGTGTGTCTCGCTCGACTCGAGTGAACCATCTCGTGAAGAGATTTTTGAGCCTGACCTTTGCCCTGCTGTTCAGCATGTTACAGGTCCAGGTTCACTGACCCCATGCCTTTGTGGACTTGGAACAAAAGTCGCGTTTCCGAGTTCACTTGCACACACAGCTGAACAAGCGAATAACATGAGTGTCCTTTATCCTGAAAGTCGTGAGCATGTTTTCGGTTAGGTGGGCCTGGAACATGCTAGGGACTTTTTAGATAAAGTGTTCAGCTTTGTTTATTTTATTTTTCAATGAATGCGATATCTCATCGCTGCCATTTTGGCGAGCAGTCGCCACTCGACGCATCGCCAGGTTGAGAACACCCGCCCACACCACCCTGGGGATGCTCATCCTCGGGGTGGACAGGCGAGCCGGCGTGCCTGTCGCGCGGATGATCATCTGAAGTGTTTGAAGTTGAAGTTTGTTGATCAGCATCAAAGGGTTTTTGTATTTAATGGGAAGTGAGACAGGATCCAAGCGAATTGGGTCAAATGTGTGTTCAGCATGTTACAGATCCAGGTTCACTGACCCCATGCCTTTGTGGACTTGGAACAAAAGTCGCGTTTCCGAGTTCACTTGCACACACAGCTGAACAAGCGAATAACATGAGTGTCCTTTATCCTGAAAGTCGAGGGGTTAATACAGAAAACAAGTTCTGCCTTGAGCTGTAGCCACTCCAAGTCGTGCCTTTGAGGAAGACCTCGTCGCCTTGGCTCGTGCTCGCAGTACTTCGAAGACGCAGCTGCTGCCCTTCACAGGGCAAAGTGCCCAGCAGATCTTGGGCCGTGCCGACGTCACGGTGACACGGAGTGGTGGACTGACAGCTGGAGAGCTTCTGGCATTACACCGGCGGGGTGATCGTAAACAGGTGGGAATGGAGTAAAAAGATGGACTACATTGTTGCAAAGGTTGAAGAAGAAAGGATTGCATCAAAGTCCAAGTCCAAAAGGTCCAGGAGCTTTTTTTTTGTGGACAAAGTTCATTTGTGTTCCAAAAGGACCCCTCAAGAGGCATGCATTTCTGTGCAGTTTCCATGCTGTTCCTGTCGAAGGTGCTGCTGCATGTGGAACCTGTAGAGAAAGAGGAGAAGACCCGGACATTGGCAGGCTTGCCAGACATGGAGGATCACGTCATGATGGCCTTGGCTGCAGACCAAGCGGCCTTGGAGGGCATGGTGCCTTGGGAGGCTGGAAACGCCCGTTACTTGCAAGAGACTCTGGAGGCCAAGCTAGTCACACCTGAGACCTTGCTAAGTCGCCTCTTGGGACAGGTGGAAGAGCCCTTTCCAGTGAATTGGAAGCTCTTCTTGAACCTTCGAGGTTTCAACCGGGAGGCCATCAAGTTTGCGCAGTCCTGCCAGTGTTCTTTGTCCCTGCACGCACGCCCATTCTCCTTGGAGGCAAGGTTTTGGAGTGGGGCGTGTGGCAAGTCCTTGGAGAAGTTTGCAGGCTTCCCGCTCGTGGGAAAATTGAGGGGTCTTACTTTGCAGCAGTCAGTACTCCCCTGTGGCGAGGGGATCACCATTGTGCGGCCGATGATCAAGCTGCCATTCTGGGCGCAACCAGAATGTGAGGGGTCAGAGGTGAGCTGTGAAGGCCTCTTAGCATGGCGGCTACCGTGAAACCAGGGGAGAAATGCCAAGAAAAGAACGTGATGTGGTCTGCTGCGTTTCGTCGAGCTGTGTCTTACATATTTGTATTTCTTTTCATCATTTTTACACAGAAGTAATATTTGAAAGCAGACAGCAGACCTATAGCATTGTGACCAGGGATTCGAGTGTTTCAGCGGTTGTCACAAATGTGTTCTGGAGGTTATTCCTGGGATGAGCGATTATCCCTACACTCAGATGCCCAAGAACTGCATGACCACGGACCGCAGACAAGCGATTCAAGCGCCAGAGTGTGCGACCAAGCACTTTGTCACGTACTTTTTAGGAACTAGCAGTTTTGCGCAAGACCCTGGCAGGACTTCAATTGCTACTCCCAGATTAAGGAGCAGTACAAGAGCAACCTGCAGAATGGCTTTGTGGACAAAGACGGTTCCTATCATCCAGCTCTGAAGTGGAGTGCTCAGTTGTAGGTGCATGAGGCAATGATGCAATTCCTTGCTTCATTTTGCCCACAGTTTTCTTGAAATCTGTTTGGCTGAGGACAGTGATTGTGATCAATGAGCCTGATCTCAAGATCCCTGGTATCTCGCAGCCATCAAAGTTTTGCAGGCAGATCCGGCCGAGGAAGCAGCAATAATAAGAATGGAGAAAGAATGAGTCGATAATGTATCAAAATGCGTGTCTGTGCTCGGCACGCTCGTATTTGAGGGCCATCATCAGCGCCATCGATGGGATGATTGATGCAGAGAAGGACCTTCAAGCAGTGCATCAGAGCATCCTTTGACTTGGAGGTTGCCTCACGTTAGGCATTAGCCCCTGCGTCTGTATTAGAGGCTAACCTACAAGCGAAATTGTTGATACCAGGTTGCCGCAGTGTCTCCAACAAAACGGTCAACATATTGAATTTGACAGGAAGTGGGCGTGAAGTCTAACTTCGTGAACTTCACTGCCACCTTCTCCTTTGGCATCTGCACGGCCAGAGGACCAAGAGAACTTGTGACAGCTTGTAAGGATGCCAGAGCAAGCTGGAGAAGAGGACAATAACGTGGTGTCAGTCGTTGGATAAAACCAAACATTAACGCGGTTCTGCGAGTTTTGGTTCCTTCAAAGCGTGGTGGCTCACTGGGACTTTGGTCCTGTTAGCCAAGTAGGTTGGAACAAACAAGGCCAAGGTGAAATCTCATGCTCCTGACAAGAGATGACCATGGTTGTACAAGTTCTTTTCCATGCCGTGAGCCCATCGCCACATACCCGTCAGAATAGTGCAGACTAGTGCCGACCTTGCTCCAGAATTCCATGGAGACTAATGAAGACCGGGACAAGCTCCCTGAGTTTAGCATCCATTGTGATTTTTTTGATCTGGATACATCAACCCACCAAGGCCCTGGTTGTCTGGTGAGGGGAAGTAGTGAGTAACGGTGTCTATGTCAATTGCTAAGGCGTGCGAGGGAAGTCGGAAGCCTGCCCTGGGTCAGGCACAAATGCGAAACAGTCAAGCAGACTTGGATGATGACAAGCAAGATGGCCTTTGACCTAATGGCGATGGCCTCCAACCTAAGAGGGATGGCCTCCAACCTAAGAGCGATGGCCTCCAACCCAATAGTGATGGGCTCCAACCCAAGAGCGATGGTCTCCAACCTAAGAGCGATGGCCTCCAGCCTAATAGCGATGCAACCACCTACTTGCAAGGGCCTCCAACCTAATAGCGATGGCCTCCAACCGACAAGCAAGATCTCCCTTGACGTATTTCTTGCAACTTTTGCACAGATGATTCACCTGCACCTCGCGATGACCCAGCCGGAGGAGCTCTCCCCGCTCGGACCAGTTCTGTTGCATGAAACGATTTTCTAAAGATTAAACTTAGAGTCAAGTTGTGGGATTGAGATCACGATTGTCGGAGAAGAAACGGGCGTGCGGAGGTCACAGTGCAATGACTAACCTGAAATGGGTTGGTTGTTTTCTATAAAGATTCTATAATTAGTACTTGTTCAGGTGCTAACCTCTTGTCCATGTGTGTTTTCAGGCAGCTGAACAACTCTGGTTTTCCGCGTGTCCGCACTTCTGCAAATTGCCACACCCACCTTCTCCATTGGGAGCGGCCATGTGCTGCGTTCGCATCAAGGCTGAGACTGTGACCTGGACCCGGCTGACAGATCGGCCGGAGTCCAGAGACATGTGTCGGCAAAACAGGTGGATTCTAGGGACATCATGATGGTGTGGGGTCAAAGTCGACGAGCACGCTGGCATGGCACTTGTTCAGGTCAATCTAGGAGTTTCACATGCATGCATGGGCTTTCGGCGATAGCGTAGCCAAATCTCCACGCAAATATGAGTTTGAACACAGGAGGTGGGCTACAAAGCGCAGAACGACCTTGCAGAGGTCTACAGGACCAGGCAAGATGCCAAATCCATGGCAGTAGGGCTTGCTGAGTTCGACTGGATTTTAATGAGCTACTCATTGGGTTCCATCACACACACACATATATATATATATAT